CAGCCAGAATTCAAGAAAGGTTTGCTCATCATTGCAGCAAGAGGGAGACAGTACCTTCTCACCAGTTCACCAAAAATACAAGCTGGGACTGCAAAACAGCATCTAGCTGTCAGAAAAAACTTGGAACCTAACTCTCTTCAGCCTTGAGGAAAGCATCAGGGAAGGAAGGAGTAGGTCAGAATACACCCCCTGTCCAGAAAGAGCTGCCAACAGTGTTGCTCTAGATTGCTTTTACCTGAACACAGCCTTCACAGAAATGCAGGGTCACCCCAAGTCATTCTCCATATGTGTTGAGGCCTTACACCCTGTGCTCAGTGGCCTCATGTTATTTACCCTCTAAGGCACACACTGATTTAACTCTCTCCGCTGGGAAACAAGGACAGGCAAAGACAGACTTCAAACAATAGCACCTGCAAAGCATGGCAAACCCAGTGCTTTATGACGCTTCAGTGATCTCTTGCACCCTGGGCACCCTATTCATGTCTGCATAGCATCACTGCAGCGCTGATTTCCCAGTTCCGATCTCACAATGGACTCTGGGTACACAGTGTGTGAGAGAGGGGATTGACTGCCTTTCCCAAGGTCATGCTTTTCTCAGTGCACCCATAATCTGCATACACCTCATCCTCATACTAAAACCCAATTGTTAGAAGAAAGTAGAGCACATAAAGAAAAGGTTTTTTTTTTTTTTGAGTTGCTCAATTACTTTTATGCTCTTCTTTTACCATTTGCTGTTGACCACTGCTGAAAACAAGGTTTGATTATGTAACTGACTGATTATGTTACTTTACAGGGCAAGGTATTCAAGAGCAGGGCTGCGTACATCTCACTCAAAGTTTGCTAAATTAGCCCCTCGGTAATCTCAGGCTCCACATGACTCCCACCAGAACTCTTCTCCCAGCCTCAGTCCTTGCTGGCAGAACAAGGCCAACAGAGCCAACAGCTTGTGGCTGCTTCTTTGTTAAAGCTGTTCAGAAGTGGTGCCAAAGCTCAGGGTCTCAGCTGAGCTTGATCTGCAGGGCTCAGAGGCCTTTAGGAAATCTCTGTGCTGCTGCTCTGGGGAACTGGGCACCTTGTGGAATAGGTGCAATGAGAACAATGCTACTCCAACGTTATTCTGTTGCAAATACATGTCCAATACCAGCAGCTGACATAAGCGTGAACACAGCACGTAGCCCGGCATCAGCCTTTCTATTTTCTAATGTAGAGGAAGCTGACCCTACCACAAGGGTATGAGCAGGAGCAACGGGGAACCTTAGAAATAGAGGAGTTTAGAGCCAGGCAGCAGCCTCACAGCAGAAGGCTGTCACAACTCACCCTTGCGTCGCTTGAACATTTTTCTTACCAAAGTCACAGGCCAGCAACAGATACCAAGGATAAACGCCATTCCTATTTCATGCAGTTTTGAATGCCCATATCATCTTTCAACCAGTGTTTTATAAAACACTCACTTCACTGTGCTCAGTTTTGACTGACACAGATGGGAGCTCCCAGTGCCAAGCACCTCCATCTTGCCTGAGACCATGCACAAGCCAAAAGGCCAGGAGCATATGAAGCAGACCCAAGCCCTTTTATCAAGCCTTGAACCTTCTTTTTTCTCAAAGGCTTCCTTTAAGATGGCTTTTGAGATTCTCCATAAAGGCTCAGTGTGCACTAAACCTGAGGGCATTCATTTCTTGAGAGCAGACTGTCAAGTTATGGTGTGCCATCTCACCTCTTCTTGCTCTGGTTGCTTCCATTAACTTTCACACAAGTGATTCATTTTGCCCAGGCTTTTGTAAACAGAATTTGAAGCCAGCTGGAATTTGTTGTGCATCTAGATTACACTTGCTCATCAAGCTATTCCACAGAAGGGATTCATTTCGTTTTTTGTCTGTGGTGGGGACAGAGCAATGCACATCTATGAAATGAAAGAAAATCTGCTGCTGAAATAAAACAGAATTTAGGTAGTATGGCTAACATCTAAACCTCACTGCTATTAAAATATGAAAGTATCATTGAAGGAGGAAGGGGAGGAAGAAACTATTGGATCCCTTAATTGTAACTCTGCACCAAATGTCATTGCTGAAAAGGTGGGATGAGGGGAAGGAATGAACATTTTTATGAAAGGTGAGGAATCAACACCTTAAGCTAAAATGCAAAGCCTGAGGGGGCTCAGATGTGTGCAGATAACTTCTGCAGAGAGGCTGACCTTTCAGGTTGACCTGAAACCCTGCAAGGTTTCAGCTGTCCTCCTGCTGACAAAGAATTAACGGACATGTTGGGAAAGCACAAAAATTCACCAGTCAACAGCAGCAAAGGCCAGAGGGGGAGGGTTAAAAGAGCAAATCTGAAATGCAGTAAGCCAAATTTTTTGAAGTGGGACAGATGTTGGCATGAAATCACAAGTTCTTGAGGCTAACAGACAATCATGACAATCTCATCCAAGGCTGTATCATGACAAACATTCCCTTTGGAGGCAGGACCCATTCCCACCTCCTCTTCCTCTTCTTTCACTCCACTTGTGCAACTGCACAGGGAACCCAATGGGGTGTCACTGGAATACTGGACTACTAACCTACTGCGGGATGTCAGGGAAGTCAGTGGCTCTTTCTATAAAATAGGGCTGATATAGCTATAAATTAAACAGAACACCTTTCCTAGTGAACTTGCCTTTGTAAAACAGGCAGATTCATGCATGGAACGTGATAAGCAGAAGGCAAACTTCGCCATCCATGAATATAAGCAATGAGAAGTCAGGATAGCAGGGCAGACTGCAGATAATATCAAACACACACCAGGTACGGCACAAAAGTCAAAAGAAAGCTGTGGAGAGGACTTTAGCCATTTCACCTTTTCCTATATAATAAAGAATTGGAGACAGACTCATCCAACTAGCACAGCACAGACTTAAAAAGCCAAAGACTTTAAGAGCTGGCTAGCTAAGAGATGCTTTCTTGCGGTGCTGGAGCAGGGAAGAGGGAAGAGAAAAAACACAGCAAAAGCTCCTTCCTACAGCAAGAGAAGAAAAAGACATTTCCTTCATATTTAGTTATAAGTAGCTTTAAAGCAGAGTTAAATGTGGATTAAAAAAAAAAGTATGCCTAACATACTCAGTCATACTGCACTGCTTGCCATATAAGTAAAAGCTGTTTTTTTCTGACCAGAATTAAGCTCCTTTCCATCCAAAGCACAGCTCAGCTCAGCTCACACACACTTTGTTGAACAGTCCAGCTGGAAAAGCCAAGGAAGACTATTCTGAATACTCTGCACCACACTGTGCCCCAAAATTAAACAGAGCACCTTTCCTAACATTACACACAGCACAAAATGCCTTTCTAGGAGATCTGACACAAGGTCGTATGCACAGAGCCAAGTGAATTACAACACCTGGAAAACAGAGCAATACCCAAACGCAGGACACCTGTAAAAACAGAGCTGGACCACTCAAAGAAAGCTTAAAACCATTGCAGATGTATTTTTCATCTCCACACTCATTGCTGATTGCTGCAAGATGGCACTCCAAGCATGGAAAGAAAAGCTAACACACTAATTGCTCCAAGATCTCCTTGCATATAAGAAGGCAACAGCGGCTCAGACTGGCAGGTCCATAGGTGTCTGCAGAACTGACTGATGCTGAAAAGAGGACTACCTGGAAAAGTCATGGGATAAGGAACCACATGGCTGTGTTGCAACATCCTCGGGTACACTGCCTAGACAACCAGCCTCTGGAAGCTGAAAATTCAGAGATCTTGCAATGTTTCAATAGAAGTGCACAACATGTACCCCAAACATTTCTGTAGGTCAAGAGGAGCGGTCACCTCTGTGCAGCTGAACAGGACCTGCTACACTAGAAGGAAGTCCCATTGACCCAGTTGCAAGACTTGCAGCCAGTGTGCTTTTTGTGTAAATAACCATACATCCTGCATAGAGACCGGCCTCATAGGAGGCACTGCTCCAAGACAAGGTTTAGGACTAACACCAAGACTGACAAGGTACCTAGAAAGGCAAAATGCATTATGAACTGTCTTGTGACAAGCAGGAGATGGGAGAGGAGTGCGCAACAGCACACGCACATTGCCAAGGTGGTGGGAGGACCATGGCTGAGGAGTTCTTTTTTCTCATTAGGCCCTAAGGCCAGAAAACTTCACAGGACTGACTATACCAATTCTGCCGAGTTTCTCACATGTCCAAGGAATAGTGCTGGCCTCGTATTCAGACACTTGCTTGTTACCATGAATGCCCCAGCTGTGTTAGCACAGGACAGCACCAAAGCAGAGTGAACAGTGCTTTTGTGACTAAAGAAACTCTAAAGCCATAAAACATGGAAACAAAGAGCTAAGAGATCAGTGAGGAGAGCCACATATTTTTTTTTCCTGTTCATTTATCTTGGTATTTAACAGGGCCTCCAAGATTCTTCTTAAAGGAGTCTTTTTATAATAGTTTCGATATAGGAAGGAGCATTGGCTAGCCATTGGCTTAATTCAAAAGCGTTGCCCTGAATACTGAAATGCCTGGCAGCACTTTTATTCAGTGACTGAAGTATTTAGCCCCTTGCTGGAAATGCAGAATTACTGCAGGCTAAATCTGGACAGCATTGCTTAAACCAGTGCCAAGGTGCTTCATTTGTGTGACTAACTAATACCAAATGAATCATTTCTTTAAAAAGCTTGGATTTTCAGGGACTTGCAAAAATAATAACTACTTTTACTTTGTCTTTTATACCCAACAAACATTTTGATCTATGGCTTCCTTTCAGAGGAAGGAATTATGAGTACAACTGCTGGTAATTATTAGGAAATTTTTACTTTAAAGCACAGATAATTTGCTCTTTAAATTGAGCTCACACTTATTTCCTTCCCTCTATAAACTTGTCTTTATGCTTTCTTGCTTTGATGCCGATGTCCACTAAGAGATTTTGAGAACAAGTGAATACATTTTTTTTTAAAGCATGTGCGCTCTTCCAACAAAACTAAGAAAATATCGTGCATCACAGAGCAAGAAATTAACTCTGCGAGAGCTAGGAGGATATAGATTTAATTTCTCTTGATTTAACACAACAGCAACGATATGTATAATACTATATGTCACAGTCTTGATGAAGAGAAAGCTCATAATTGATTTTAAGTCTTCCCTGTAACATCAGATAATCTTTTATACATATACTACATAACATTCAAAGAAAGAGCATCCTGAATTCATCAGTGAGGAATAAACCAGAATAAAGCAATTTGCTTTCTTTGAGTCTATTCTTTTATTCTGTAGCTGGAAAATGAATTACCCAGCATTTTTTCCGTCCTACACAGAATTGATGCAGAGCAGGCATGCTGCACTCAGCTTCTTCTTCACTCAAGTTCTCTGGTCGATCACTGTTAGGGCTTCAAAGCGAGGCAGATTTCATTTCAGCCAGATCCACTTGTCACCAACATCAGCATTGTAGCCTTTCCTAAAATTGCGACCAGGAAGCTAGAGAAAGCAGAAATTTCAGTCAGAAACATTTTTCTTCTCACTGTTTACTGAACTTTTAGATTCTCTATAAAGTAGCTAGTGCTATCTGCAAGAGCCCAGTCTGAAACATTCTATTTTTTTCAGAATAAAGATTAGCACTTTTAGGAAATTCATCCCCCTTTGAAAAAAAACTTGAACTGCACAGCTGGTGGAAAAACCTGCAAAATATACTACACTATTTAAATACTAGGCCAATATCTCACTAACACAATAGCATATTACATCTGGATTCATCCAGTTCTTCTCTTATATTCCCTTGTTCCTCCGTTTGGTAAGAGATACCCCCTGAGAGATTTAACCATAGCATGCAGTAGAGGAACGGAATCAGCCAGTAGAATCTCATGCCAAAATAGGCACACATTATTAAATGCATGAAATATTGAGTCAATTATTACATTAAATTAAACTATTCAAATGAAATTGCTTATTTAGCTTTCAGAGCTGAACTTAACTTCATTAAAGCAGAAAGCAGTATCTGCCTGTCTTCATAAGCAAAGCCAGAAACCACTATTTGCTGCAAAAAACAAAATTTCGCAACCCTCTACCCAAATTTCATAGTTACACTGAGAGAAGCAGCAGCCTTCACTTGTTACCTCTGAACCTCACTGAAGCAATACTTCTTCTACACAGACCCTTAATGCTCCAGTGAGTTAACCTCTACCGAAGCAGCTCACAGACATGGTGGCTAGCCTGACTGACCTTTTTGGATCAGTGGTCCCCAAACCATGACTCAGGGAAACAGCAATGCTACAGGAAATTCCAATTCTTATGATGCAGTTTGGCAGTTTGTTAAGTATTGCCACACACAGGACAGCCCAGGACTAGGAACCCCTGCAAGTAGGCCTTTCCAGCAAGAACCTTCTGACAGGGTCTCAGAGTTAGGGCTGGTATAAACAGACATGTCTCTCTGGAGACACAAGAGGACCGTGCAAGGAACAGTTCAAATCTAGGAAACCAAGGAACAGACTGCAGAGGGAAAGGAGGGATGGACTGGCACAGAAGGATAGCAGCTACATTACAAAAGCTGAAGGGTCTGCACGCTCACCAGACAGGGAAAGCAAAAAGAGACGGAAACATGTGATGCCTTTCTTGGTAGTTCATCTAGGCAGCTAGCTTCACAGATATCTCTCAGTCAAAGCTCTGCAGGAGAGTTCAGAAGGAAAGGGATGTGCATATCCTGGCAGATGATGCATAGGAACAGAAAGTCAAGCCTGGCCCTCTTGGCCTGCTGCTGTGCGCAGCAACACCACAAAAAGCACTCCAGGTTGCATGATAGACACAAACATTCCATTGCAAAGCTGGTCTACCTTTAAAATCCAGAGAAAGAGGCTGATTAAGTAGCAGCCACTTTAAAGGATTATAGACACAGCATGGAGGACTACAAGAAAAAGCCTGTCAGGATGGTTAAAATAGCAAATGCTCCTTACACGGCTTACAAGCTCTCCCTGCACGCTAAGACAGTGTTCCTCCAGGAGAAACAGGCTATATCAGGTCAGCAAAAGCACTCCTACATGACAGAAGACCATCTCACCACAAGTTTGCCAAAAATACTGTCATCAAAATCATCTTACCAACTTGTTTTACAAAAGCAGCACATATTTTCAATGCAGTTTCAGTCTGAATAAACATAAACCATGGCGCTGCATCCACTGGATAACAAAGCCATGAGAACAAAACCTCCAAGCTACAGGATCAGGACATAAAATAGATACTTTGACAATTATTCTAAACTGAGCGATCTTAAGGAGGAAACAGACGTAGATGCATTTCAACCTTTAGGTCTCAGATGTTAAAGCAGTGCTCTTCAGAAAGTACTGAGCAATGACCTAAAATGCCAGAAACGTTTAAGGTTCTATCTCAAGAAACATCTTGGTTCTTATCCCTATAAGTAAATGAGACATAAAGACAACATCTACCTTTGAGATATAACCCTGGCATCAAAAAGCAAAGCACCATCAAAAAGTAAATGAACTTTGTGAGAAAGTCTGAGGCAAGCAAAGATGCTATTACAAAACTCCTCTTTTAAAAATATGCCATCAGCTGAAAAATTATTACAAATAATTAAAGTTATTACAAAGAATTAAACTCAGATCATCTATGCATCTCCAAAGAGACAAACGCTTGCCCCACACAGGACCCCAAACTTGTCTTTTCAAAAAACTGTGAAACATCCTGTTTAAGAGAGCTGTCCCTGTGGAAAGAAGCATGACTAAGTCTTGATGTAATCTATACACAGGCCACAGAAATAGCTATTTACTCCAGGATGAAGTCTGTGTGTGTTTTTGTTTATTTTTTTAAATTAAGATCAGAAAATAAGACATTTCTTTCCATAAAATATCGAGCCAACAAAAGACTTCTACCTCTTTCATAACCCATGTACCATCCCACCTTGTCAGAAGCCATTACAAGTCATTCTTGATCAACTTTTCTAAGGTTTTTCATTTAAAGTTGTCTTTAATGTCTCATCTAAATATCAGAAGAAATCATGCAGTCCTGTTAAGAATTACTCCTGCTGAGAAAGAGTTGATGTGAGACAAAAATAAACGATTACGTTATCTCTGCCATCTAAATTTACAGCAGTGGGCTAGGGAAGACATCGAACCTGCTGTGACCAGCCTGTATCTATCAATTCTAGGACAAAAACAGCTTTCCCTGATCTTCTCCAGGAAGCATGTAATTGTCCCTTTGATACTTCAGGAGACTCTGAGATAACTAGATTATTAAAGCAACAGGAGCCCTCTGAGAAAATGCAGGAGTTTACAGTTTCATTTCTCGGTAAATCTCCCCTCTTGAAAAGACACAATATCAATCCCAACAGAATCCAAATTCATTGTCCAGAACAAATTCCCCATGTGTCTTTGGTTAGAGACATGCAGTACATCAAAGCAATTTTTATAATAAATATTCATCCATACTCAATCATTCACAGCAGGCCTTGGCATAAGCACTTGAATTGCGGGATATGTTATGGGCAAGCTTTCAAAATAGCCAAAAAATTCAAAAAGGAACACACTGTAAGCAAATCCCATACTACCTAGCAAGCAGAACCATGTAAATTTATGTTCTCTGCACCAGCTAGATTAGGCACAAGTAACAGACGTGACTTCCTGAGAAAGGGCCCTTCAAAGCTCACACTTGCTAAACTGTCCATAAAAGATGCACAACTTGGAACAAGGTGAATGTATGTATTCCAGAGAGGAAGAAGCTGTTCTGTTAGCGCATATGGAGCATTTGGAAAAACACTGAAAAATGTAACATGCAAAACCCAAAACCCAAACTTCACCTAGGTCCATCCCCCCTCCCACCCTAAAATAAAAGGGTGCCACATGCCTAAATCTGTGCTCACTCTATGTTCCCCCAAAAGAATGCTTACAAGGATATTTCTTCTAGAGGAGAGTAAGAAGGGTTTAAACAGCTGTAGTACTTCACAACTCATTTTATGATTTTATGATTTTTTTATGATTCTCAGAATCTGGGCCCCAAAGGAAAAAGCCTACAGATTCTGTTTCTGTCCTGTTTTCAGACAGGTCACCTGCTTCTACCTACTCGGACAGGTGATTTTCTGACCAAAGAAGTGTCATTCCTGTTCTTGTGGTCCTCTGCCTGCCTTCCACTTCCTCACTAACCCACCTTCTGCCAGAACAAGCATTTGCTCAGCTGCATGAAGAGCCTGACTGGAGGACCAATTTGGATTAAAACAGCCAGATAAAAAGCATTACAGTGATGGTGCATGATGTGGCTGAATGGACTAAACAGCTTGATGCCAACAAAAAGGCAAGGTCCTACAGTACCAATCCTCTCATCTACCAGCTGTGCAGTCCAAATCAGCTCTGTAGCTTTCTGAATTGTTCCATAAGCTTAATCAACTCCCTTGCCCAGGGAGAAGCTATTCGCTCCTTTTGGCTGGGACAGTTTTCAGTGACTCAGTGAACTCAGTCAGCCAAGCATACACCAGACAGCTTCAAAAAAAGTGGTGGGAGCGCAAGGGAAGATTCAGGGAGGCAGGGCGGATGGCAAGATGGTGGCAACAAATGATTAAATCGGCACCCCAAACTTCACCCTTGCTTTTGACCCAGCTTAAGTACCCACCCTGTTTTTCCCATGGCTGCTAAGCCACCACAAGGAAAGGGATAGGAACAAGTGACTAGCATTGAGACTGTCAGTACTGCAGTCAGAAGAGGTAAACTGTTCAGCCCAGAAAAGAGATGACTGAAGGAAGACAGCACAAAGGTCTACATAAGTTTGAAGTAGCTGGGAGAACACAGAGAGGGACTAAATGTTTACTGTCTCTTCCACTACAAGATCTAGGTGCCATCAAATGAAGCCAAAAGGGGCAAGATAGAAACACACAAGAAGAGCTTGTTCTTCAGGTCACGGATAACGGCTTAAGAAATACCTTGCTGAAGGATACTGCTGACACTAAAAGTTTAGAGGGCCTCAAGGGGAGACTGGGCAAGTACTCTGAAGAAACTTGCATTTCCCGTGCGACTTCTGCATTTGAGCAAGTTTCACAGTCAGAATTGTAATGAAAGTCATCAAGGCCACATCTTTTGCAAGTGGTTTGCCCATTCACAGGACTGCTCCATGCTTGTTACCTTTAAATCAGACTTGAGTAAGACCAAAGAAAAACTACAGCTTAATGACCGTGTTAGTACCAGTATTAAAGCATCTTATGATGCATGAATAATTATTAACCATAACACATCTTTCCACAGGGGGGTAAAGGGAATAAGCATAGAGGGTCAAACCTTGGCTCAAATAAATCCCTTCAAACCCTCTTAGGTCTTTCACTGACATTGGCCAAAACAGACCTAAGGAGCATACCAACAGGCTTCTCCAATATCAAGTAACAGTTAACGCAGTTGACGTTTACACAAAAGCTGAACCATCTTTCCCACGAAAAGAAAGAAAAGTCACGTTATCACAGCAGCTACCTAAAAGACACATGCTTTGCAAGG